TACTTAATTACTTATTTATTTTTATTATTATTATTGTTGTTGTTGTTGTTATTATATATATACGTAAACATATATATATATATATATATATACATATATATATATACGTCCACGCTTTTTGGGCAAAAGTTGGCGCAAATGGCGCCATAACGTATATGTTCACGTTCTTCGCGTCCATTTGTAACAAAATTGGCGCTAAAGGCGCCACTATTGGCGCTACTAGCGTCGTTTTTTTTTTTTTTGAATATTACATTCTACGTAATGAAAGTTTTCTAACCATATATTATATGTATGTTTTCATTGAATATTCTAAAAAAATTTGAATCTGGATTTTTGGATTTTATTACGTGAAAGTTTAAAAAAATTCTCAAATTTTTTCAATCGATACATTGAAACCTTAAATTGTTATAGAAATTTTGAAAAATATGTTTTTAGTTATCTATTGACACAAAAATTATTTGAAATCATATACTATAGCGAAGGAATTTTATTCAGGAATGTATTGTTACGAAATACAGGGTTCCTCTTATGAAAGTTTCAATCTTTTTTTAAATTGATATTATTTCATTGATGTAAAATGAAATTTGGTTTTGAGGGTTTTAGTTCCCCTGTTATTTTTTTCACTGTTTTATGTTGTTTTTAATACAAAAGTCACACCTTTTTGTGCCAAGAAAAGTCGCGACCCATAGCTTGAAAAATAAATTTTTAAACTTCCAAAATCTCTCAAAAATATATTATTTTTGAGATAGATTATATTAAAATCTCATTGATTTGTTGTTTCTGCGTTGTTTTGAGAGAAAAATCGCTCAAAAATCTGTTATTTTTGAGTTTTGACGAAGCTCCCATGCCAGAACCCAATTTCGAGCACATCAATCTGCCAAAGGAAGAAAAAAAACACTGCAATAGATAAATCTGAAGAAATCCTAGGAGTTAAGATGAGATTGTGAGAGATTTTTCACTAAAATATCTCGCGAAATTCACACAATAGAAAATTCATTAAAATCGTTAGATTTTTTAATACCACAAAATTATTTTTCCTTTATTTAAAATCTTGATTGAATACCAGCAGATTTGAACAGACTCTAAAATAATATTTTAAAATCCTAATTGAATATCACGTGACTTTTTTTCAATCTTAAAAAATTATAATTGAATACCAATAGATTTTTTTTATCCAAAAATAATCCATTAAAATCCTTTGAAATTTCAATTCAATATACCTCCTTGATATTTTAAAGATCCAACAATTACTAACTTTAATAAAAATTTGGATCAATTTTATTTGTTAAAATAATAAGAGATACACAAAATTTTGGTTATGCTTATCCATCAAAGAAACTTACAAAATCTTGTCATTCACATAAAAAGAGAAGAAAAAATTCATAATTATTATATAATAATAAATTTTATTTTGTTGTATTTATAAATTATGTACATTTGTCGTCAAACAGATAACTACATAAAAATATTATTACGAGACTCAAAATTGTGTTACTCAATGGTGTAAATTTTCTGGGTTAGGCTAGGTTATATTTGTATAAAATATTTTAGATCTGGTTTGGTTTGTTAGTTTTGTATAGGCTCAAACTATAAGTTTGGTCTAGTCTATATTTAACAAATAATAAGATTTATTAGTCTGTTTAAGTCTATTAGACATTCAATAATTATAAAATGATAATTAAAATAATATAATTTTGTTATTCAAAATTATTAAAATAATTATTTATTTATTTTATTTAAATAAATAATATGATATAAGTCGGCATGTAAACTTATAGGTCTGATATGTAAAAGAAAGCATATAACGACATACTTTCTAAATAGGCTTTTGTTTGTACATGAGTTTGTTCTATTTGACTATATGTAATAGGTCGAGTCGGTCTAGCCCGGTTGACCCATTTGCACCCATAGTAATATCCCTCTATACAAATAAAAAATGCAACTTTTACAATATATTTAGGGATCACTTATTAAAATCTTCATATATTTAAGGGTTTAAAATTTTTAAAATTACTTTAGATACTCTATCTATTGTTCATCAAAATATATACAAAAAAATTGTATGGGGCTCATGTTTTGTTTTTTTCTCTCTTCTTTTCACATGGGTTTACATGAATTCCACACACTTTTTTTTGTGTATTTTAATGAATATTAAATTTATAAACTTTAAACAAATTTATAAAATTATCCGCAGAATTTGTAAATAAAATTATCCGCAGAATTATCTAAAATAAATAAAATTATCCGCACACCCTTAAATAAAATTATCTAAAATAAATTTATAAACTTTAAACCCTATATTTAAACAAGTCATACAATTATCCGCAGAATTTGATATGGATGGCCCTCATGTATGATTAGGCCCATTTTAACTGTGTCATTTCGGAGGACAGGGTCCATTCCCTGTTATATCACAATAAATGAGTCTTATTATACTTGGGCAAACTATCCCTCCCACTCCTTGGTCCAAAACCTACAAATGATTGAAAGAAAAAGGTCCAGGTCAAGAAAAAATGATCAATTTTCAAATCCAGTTATAATTTCCAAAAATAAATAAAAGAAATCCAATTACTCTCATTAATAAAAACAGAAAAAAATCAGATAATTTAGGAAAGTGAATTATGCTACTGAGTAGGGTTACATGCTTTTATATGTAAAAATGCAAGTGGATTCAAATTCTAAAAAGCACAATTCTTGGAAAGGACGAAAAAACACAAATTCGTAACTAGATTAGTTGAGCCCATTAGGACCGCGGATACTGGTAGGTATCTATTAAAAAAAAAATAAGATTATGTATAAAAAAAAAAAATAAGCTCTTGAGGGGTGGTACAAAATCCAAATACTTGCTAGTTAAATGATAAATCAATAATCATAATGTGCTAAATGCATGATTTCTATAATGTGCTAAATGCTTGATTAGGTATATTGTACAACTAGCCAGACAATTTAATAGTAGCTATATATGAAATGACGAGTAGGTGATGGTTAATTTGCTATTTACTACTTTAGTTGAACCCTGAAGTTCTTATTGATCAATTGGAGAGCGTGACTACTACTGCTAGCAGCCTTACCAGTTGCCAGCAATGATAATTTACAAGTGTTACATGCAGAGCCTATTGCCATCTCCAAACAGCTAGCCGGGCCACCTAATTGTTCATTCAAACCTTTACCAAAGGTATTAATTAACATAATTAGCCTGATAAGCAATTATAGGAATAAGATATTATAAAGAACCTTGAGATACACCACCCCAAAAGCTAGCTCAAAGGGTGAGAGTGTTCAAGGCCTTATAAACTCCACATTAGTTGCACATACAACCAATGTGGGACTATATATCTCAACAGATATACATAGTTGACAAAAGTTTGTAAAAAATGTAGTGTTGAATGTCTTTATTTTACATCAAAAACTTCAACCCAACATATTAACAATGGTTATTAACTCTCTACTAGCCTTACTCCAGAACTCACAGGCCAGACCTGGAGAAAGAGATAGTAGTAGCACTTACTTACGTTTCAGGATTGAAGATGTTGAGGACCACCACATAGTGCGTGACTGGAAAGTAGAAACTACCTAGAGAAATGGAACTGATAATATCCCCTCCTTTAATGTCAAATTATGATGTACCAAATGCAGTAATAATATTCATGACAGCATTTTAAAGCTTGGTTGCTGGCTTGCTGCTTCAAAATAATTAAAGTATTACAACGGCCTTGGTAGTTTACTTGGTATCTTTACTTCTTTCTTTATGTATATTCAATCGATCTAAAACATGATTGGCCATGAGCTGAACATATAATAATAGTCATCTGTCTATCACCAATACCGACACGGGACACGACACTCCGACACGGTAATTCTAAAAAATGTTAGATTTCGACACGTTAGGACACGTTTTGATATTAAATAATATTCTTAATTTACGTTGTGTATATTATATTTAATATTCAATAATTTAACAAAAAAAATAAAGCTAAACTTATAATACTCATTAATTTTGCAAAGAAACATAAGATATCACAAATATTTATATTAAATTCAATAAAATAATAATAATAATCTAACGAATATAATAGTTAGAATTAAAAACGCAAAGCAATGCAATCTTTGAATCTTTTTTTTAGTTTTTACAACGGGCGTTGTAGTGTCGGGAAGTGCCGGAAAATAGCAGACACGACACGTCGGGATTTTTGAAGTGTCGCTGCTTCATAGATAGTCATGGCCACAAATTAACATTTATCATATTAAAGTTGTAGTACATATAGTAAACTGTGTTCTGTTTTCTTTTTTAAATCGAAGTGGTAGATCACACAAATTATAAAAATATTTTTTTTCTTAAACAAATTCCTATGAACAATCAGTGAGCATAGACTTTTATACCTTCATGCAAGACAGGATAAGATACATATAGCGAATGATCAGATGTTTCAAATTAACCTGCAGTGGGGACATATATATATATACTGTCGGAAGAATTCATGATAAGTCATAACTAAGTAGCAAACATTACAGGGATTTTATTCACATAAGGGGACCAATGTAATTGAACATCAAAATGTCTTCTCCTGTCAACAAAATAATTATTGGAGCTATAATTTTTTTTTTTCTTTTTCTTTCTTAAATTTTGTAATTACTATATGAACTTCATTTTAACTAAATTCAAAATGGTGTCAGTCCTAACTATTTTGTTAATTTGGATGTTCCAGGTAAGAGAAATCACGTGTAAATGGCATTTAAATACAAAAAGCTATGAGTTTTGGAGAAATGCATGCACTGATTCTGACTTAACTTCCAAGTGAAACACATGCATCCATAAAACTAAAAAAAAAAAAAAAACATGAGACAAGAACACATTACAAAACATCCTAGTAGTACTACTATTCTTGCTTGGTGATGAACCCTAGAATGTTCTGATGACAACATGCCACCATTATTTTCTTAACGAAAAGAAAGGCTAGCTAGCTATAGTAAAAGAAAGAAACAGAAAGCCATGCATGGTCTCAAGGGAAAGGATTGGCACCACCAGCTCCACCACCAGCACCAGCACCGAGTCCGCCAACTCCGCCAGCAGCACCACCGAAAAGGCCACCGTTTCCACCGCCAAAGCCAGTACCTACTCCAGCCCCAACACCTCCAAAAGGAAGTCCATTACCACCAAATCCTGAAAAACCACCAAGGCCACCATAGCCGAGGAAGTTCTTCTGGTCCTTCACACCAACAGCATCGTTGGGCACATTTCTTGCACTTGCAACCACAAGCAGAGCAAGAACAAGCAAGATGCACCACCTAGCCATATCTCTGTTTTGTCTCGCACACTCTATATGTTGTTGCCTCTTTCCCCTTGTGGGAAAACAGTGCTTGGGGTTCTCCTTTTTAAAGGGAAAAACTAAGAATGCTGAGGGGGTAGTTGAGCATATAGTAAATGAAATTGAATGCCATTGCAGAGCCTTGCTGTCAACAAGCACATTATCCCAAATATTTTTATATGTTAATTCGTTATATTAATTAAAAGAGGCGAGCACAGAACACTGATAAAGCTGTTTCTTGGTCAAATTTAAGAAATAACATCTTCACGTAAAAAGATTTTGTTGAGATATATAGTTTTACATGAGCAATTAATAATGGAGTTTACAATATTCACGCTTCTAGGCCAAGGTTCTTGACAGATTTTGTTATATTAAAAGGTGATTTTGTTTACTTATTTGGTGCTTCTTTAATGGAAGTGACTGGCCAGTGAGATATATTTCTTAAGAGAAAAAATTGTATGTATTTTTATATGAATTTTGGTTGTATTCCGAGCCTTTTTAACAAAGCAAAAATGATGCCCTCCGAAGGAGATAGTATTTAATTTGGGTGGTTTCATTTCGATATAATTTCATTTTGCTTGTCTTTCCTCAACGTATAGATCTTTGTTAATCCATATATCATATATGGGTGCAAATTGAAATGTATTTGTTGATTTGTAGTGATGCAATTTCTCATTCGTTTATATATACTAATTATGTAACTTGGTATTTTTAGTTCTTAATTAGATACTTATGAATCTTTCTATTTTCTTAATTTAAAAAACATAACTTTTTTTTGTAGATTTTTCTATTTTCTTTTATTGATCGTATAACATATTAATATTATAATATTGGATGCAAAAACAAATAACATTAGGCTTATATATAGTATATAGTACATGACATGATTAACATAACTTTTTTTTGTAGATTTTTCTATTTTCTTTTATTGATTGTATAACATATTAATACTATAATATTGGATGCAAAAACAAATAACATTAGGCTTATATATAGTATATAGTACATGACATGATTAACATAATTAATACTAATTTCTTCAAATAATATTGCATATATATGCAGACACACAAAAATATATTTTTTATGAGGAGATTTTATATTATTTGGACTAATATTAATTTCATGAACCAAATAAATGAAATGTTTTGAAACTTCATTTTGTTACAAAACAGATACATAAGAATTCATTGTCATTGTATTTCTTTACCTCAATGAGGGTTCTTTTTATACAAGAGGTCAGTAAAACTAATTGCTAATTAGTAGGTAACTAATTCTTCTATTCTAATCTCTATAGAATCATTTACTGAATAATAGCCTAACAAACTACAAACAGCCTAACAATACATAATTTTAAATTCAAATATATTTCAACACTCCCCCTCAAGTTGGTGCAAAGATATCAATCATGCCCAACTTGTCTATTGCTTCTTGAAATATTTTTGCAGGTCCGGCTTTGGTAAGAACATCAGCAAGTTGTTTTTCAGACTTAATGAATGGGAAGCGAATTATATCTTCATCAAGCTTTTCCTTTATAAAATGCCTGTCAATTTCAACATGTTTGGTCCTATCGTGTTGAATGGGATTATGTGCAATTTGTATGGCAGCCTTGTTGTCACAGTGAAGGTTCATAGGTTGATCTTGAAACAAACCCAGATCTTGTAGAGTTCTTTTTATCCAAAGTAACTCGCATACTCCTTGTGCCATTCCTCTGTATTCAGCTTCTGCACTTGATCTAGCAACAACCTTTTGTTTCTTACTCTTCCAAGTAACCAGATTACCTTCCACAAATGTAAAATACCCTGTTGTTGATTGCCTAGTCATCTTATCTCCCGCCCAATCCGAATCACAAAATCCTTCAATGTGAGATGTGCTGTTTTTTCTGAACAATAATCCTCTCCCAACCGTTCCTTTTAAATATTTCAGAATGCGCAATACTGCATCCATATGATCAACACTTGGGGAATGCATAAACCTACTTACCACACTTACTGCATAAGCAATATCAGGACGAGTGTGAGACAAATAGATAAGTTTTCCCACTAATCTCTGGTATCTCCCAATATCAGTAGATATTTGATCAGGATATATTCCAAGCTTGTGATTCATTTCCATAGGAGTTTCAGATGGCTTGCAATCTAACATTCCGGTTTCTGTTAATAGATCCAAGATGTACTTTCTTTGAGAGAGAGAAATCCCTTGTTTTGATCTTGAGATCTCAATTCCTAGAAAGTATTTGAGCTCTCCCAGGCTTTTCATTTCAAATTCAGTGCTCAAGAGTTCTTCTAATTTTTTTATTTCTTCTAAATCATCTCCAGTAATCACCATATCATCCACATACACAATTAGAGCGGTGATTTTTCCTCTTTGTCGCTTTATAAACAAGGTATGGTCAGCATTACTTTGATTATACCCGAATTTCTTCATAGCTGATGAAAATCTCCCAAACCATGCTCTTGGAGATTGTTTAAGACCATACAATGCCTTTTTTAATTTGCATACCTTTGTTATGGGGTTGGATTGTGTCTTAACTCCAGGTGGTGCATCCATATACACTTCTTCCTTGAGATCTCCATTTAGAAAGGCGTTCTTCACATCAAATTGTTTGAGTGGCCAATCCCTATTTGCTGCAAGAGAAAGAAGAATTCGGATTGTATTCAGCTTGGCTACAGGTGCAAACATGTCTTGGTAGTCAATGCCATATTTTTGGTTGAATCCCTTGGCTACTAAGCGTGCTTTAAACCTGTCAATGCTTCCATCAGCTTTTACTTTTACGGTATACACCCATTTGCAACCAATGGTTCTCTTTCCTTCGGGTAGAGGAACAAGCTCCCAAGTTAAATTTTTCTGTAAAGCTTCTAACTCAACGTTCATGGCTTCTTTCCACCTGGGGTCTTCAAGTGCCTCCTGTACATTGTTAGGAATGCATACAGTAGATAATTAATTCACTGTTAGAGCATATGAATTAGATAACCTGTGAGTTGATACATAATTGTTAATAGGGTATTTAGCCTTTGCTTGTAAATCTGGTTCATAGACTTTCCTAGGAATTCCTTTGGTTGATCTTACTGAATGCCGTATAGGAGGAAGAATGGGTGGTCCAGGTTCAGAATTTACCGCAATGGAGTGTGGTTCAGATTCAGAGTTTACCTCAAGATTGGAATCAAGGTGTTGTTCAAGAGTATGATGTTGTTCCGGAACATCTCTTGATGATGAATCAGTGTTTGGAGTTAGACGTGGACTACCTGTTTCTGAATGCATGATACTGTCTATTGCCTCAGAAGTGTTTTCAGCTGTATCAGAGTTAGAATGAAAATCTATAAAAACTTCTCCTCCAATTTGTTCATAAGGTTTCTCTCCCTGAGGAGAAGAATCGAGCACTCCCCCTGAAAAAAAAGGCTTCCATTCATGAAAAGTAACATCCAAAGTGACATGTAGTTTATGGAGAAAAGGATCAAAACATCGGTATCCTTTTTGGGAATCCGAATATCCAACAAAGACACATTTAGTAGCACATGGGTCCAACTTGTGACGTAATGGTTTTGGAGTATGGACATAGGCACAACATCCAAAGATTCGTGGTTCCAAATTTGAAACATGCGGGATAGAAAAATAGGATTCAAGTGTTTGTTGAGGGGTTTTGAAACCAAGGACATTAGATGGTGTTCTATTGATGAGATAGGCAGCAGAGAGGACTGCCTTTCCCCAAAAACGTTTGGGAACATGCATTCCGAAGAGGGAAGCTCGAACAACTTCTAATAAGTGCCTATTTTTCCTTTCAGCTAGACCATTCTGTTGTGGGGTATACGTACAGGATGTTTGATGTTTGATTCCTTTATCATCCAAAAAAGAGGTAAAGGTATGGTTGGTATATTCTGTCCCGTTATCTGTTTGTAGAATCTGAATGTGAGAGTTATACTGAGTGAGGACTAAAGAGTGGAAGCGTTTAAAAGCATTAAAAACTTCACTTTTGGTTTTCAGAATACACACCCAAGTCATACGAGTACACTCATCAATAAACGTTACAAAATACCGTGCAAAAGATAAAGACGGTTCCCGAGAGGGACCCCAAACATCAGAATGAATCACTTGAAAAGGAACACTGCTTTTATTTATACTGGGAAGATAGGAGACACGATGGCTTTTGGCCAATTCACATGTGTTACATTTAAAATCAGCCTTATTCAAATGGGAAAACATTTGGGGAAACAACTTTTCTAAATATGTAAAAGATGGATGTCCTAATCTATGATGCCACAACCAAACAGAGGAAGAAGCTTTATTAGCAGCAGTAGTAGTGAAAGACTTGACAGCGGAGACACAAACATGATTTAAATCCAGAAAATAAAGCTTTCCACGTCTAACACCATAACCAATTGTCATCCGAGTTGAGATGTCCTGAAACAAGCAAAAATCAGGGCAAAAAACAACAGTACAGTTCAAGGATGCAGTAATTCGCGAAACAGATAAGAGGTTAAATTCTAAGGAGGGAACCACCAATACAGAATCCAGGAATAAATGGGGGGATAAGGAAATGGATCCTTGGCCAGTGATGGGAGAAGTCTCCCCATTTGCTGTGGAGATACAAGGCAAAATGCAAGGTTCACAATTATGTAAATCAGAAGAATCTCTAATCATATGATCTGACGCACCAGTGTCAATTACCCAAGTATGATTTCTAGTAAATGTAGATAAAGCAAGAGTGTTACCAATATGTCCCTGATGTGCAATGTGAGCAGCGGGTGAGGCAGGGATTACAACCGAAGCAGCAGCAGCATCAGGTGTGGTGGTAGGAGCAGGAGCTTTTCGGCGCGGTTGCTTACTGAAATCCCACCAATCGGGATAACCAATGATCTCAAAACATCTTTGCTTGGAGTGACCACTAGCCCCACAGTGAGTGCAAGAAAATTGAGGCATTTTTCCAGAGGAAGAGGAGGAGGACTTACGTGGTTTCAAAGGACCAGAAGGACGAGTCAACAAGGCATTGG